GAGTTTGCCCCTGTGCTGCCCTCAGGGGACCACCCCAGCATCCCCAGGGCACAGGGAGCCCACATGGGCCTGGTGCCGTGCCCCAAAATGCTGTGCTGTCACCTCAATGATCTTGAGCCTGTGCAAGAAGGAGTCCATTCTCCTGAAGACAAAGGAAGGGGGAAAATCCCAGAGCTGCAGCTCCTCCTGGAAGCAGAGAGGGTCCATCAGCGAACAGAGCTGGGGTGGATGGGGCCAGCTGGACCCGCACCTTCGCTGGCACCCACCGGGAACAACGTGGGCATCAGGTTGGAGCAGTAAGTGCTGTAGGACTGGAAGAGCTTCTCTATGGTGGAAATGCTCAGTCTGATTCCTCCTAAGGCCTCTTTGGTTTCTCCTTGCAGCCCCTTCATCACGTCCTCTGGGCTCAGGAAGTTACGGGTCTAGGACAGACAGATGTAGGCAGGGGCTGTTGGCAAAAGGGAGCGCGGGGGGCTCCTCCTGCCCCCATCTACCCTCTGGCCCCATGGGCTCTCTGGTGATCACCTGCAGCCCACATCTGCCCCAAACCCCCTCCAGCCCTACATAGGGGCTTTGCTGATCCCTTGGTTGGGGTGTCTACGTCATCCCAGCTGGGCTCCCCATGCCTGCCCCGTGTCACCCCTCCTGCCAATGGTCCCACAGTGGGGCAGCGGGAGGAGACAGTGATGGCTCGGTGCTGCCCTACCCCTGTCCCGCTGGAGCCGACGCCGGCCCCGGGGCTCTACCATCTCAATGAGGAGGTTGCAGATCTCCTGCAGGACGACGATGGTGCGGGCAGGCGAGCTGTAGTACTGGCAGTGAGCACGGAGGAGGCGGACGGTGCACAGTGCCCTGTCCATGTAGGGCTGCAGCTGTGGGAGCAGAGGCCCGTTAGCGCAGGGCCGTGGCCCTGCTAACGAGGGTCGGGCAGAGCCAGGGTGGATCCACACCCACAAGCAGCCTCTGGAGCTCAGCGTTGCTGCCTCTACCTGGATGATGAAGCCAGGCAGTGCCTGGTTATTTTGTCACACACAACTTACCTGGGAGTAATCCGCTTGCTCCATCTCTTCCAGCAGGATCCGAAGCGGTTGCAGGTGGAGGCTGACATCTTTGGCTTCCTCCAGGCCTGGGCCAGGGGAGAAACTCCACGTTGGGGATGGGGAAGCCTCACCGGAGAGGCAAAGGCAGCTGCCCACCACATCACCCGGGGGCTTACCGGCACTGACATCCCTGAACATGCTCTGGAGCGCTGGCCAGTAGCAGCTGTTGGCCTTCTCCAGTATCTCGGCCAGTGCCGTCACTCGGGGTGAGAGCAGCTGGCAGGGGAGAGATGGCGGGCTCAGTGCTGGGAGCTCAGCACCAGGGACACGGGGCTGCTGGCCGCTCACGGGCGAGGCGGTACCTGGTCGTTGATGCACTGCAGGTTGCCCATCCTGGTGTGCCAGAACTCGAACTCGGTCCTGGGCAGGGGGTGCAGCCCCTCCAGCAGCGGCTGCGCCGAGTCCTTGCTCAGGATGTCTCTGATCTGGTGGGACCACTCGATGATGATGGTCTCAATGGCGTGCAGCACTGAAACGTCCACGGGCCCTGCCAGGCTGAAAGGCAGCTGGGTTATGCTCCAGCAGCAGGACTGGCCCCAAAACGCACCGGGGGAGCCCCACACGCCTGTTTGTTGCCAACTCTGTCAGCACAGCAACATGTACAAGCCTCTTGAAGGTGCTCTGCTGCTGAGGGGTGGCTGTGCCCAGGGATGCTCAGGGACCAAGCCAGTGTCCCAGCTCCTGTCCCTCCCAGAGGGACTCATGCTGCCCTGGGTCCCTGCCAGGCTTCGCTGGCACCGAGCAGTGCTGGCAGTACCCACCATTCCAGGACAGTGCTGGAGCCATCCTGGCTGTCCAGGTGCTCAGGCAGCGGGAGCAGCGGCTTCCCCTGGATCTTCCCGCCCATCACGAACATCTCGTTCTTCAGCCGGTGGACTTGTCGCATGATGTCCTCCACCACCACCCCAGGCCAGCCTGCCGTGTTCTCCTTGCTCAGGAGCAGGGGGGACACGACCTGGAGGAGAGGGTTCGGTTGGGCGCTCAGTCGAGCTCTCCCCTTGCAAAGGGCAGCATGCAGCCATGCTGGTTTGCACAGCGTCCCCTCTTGCTGCCCATCCAAGCACCGTCTCAGCCCGGCCACAGCTCTGGCAGCCACTGATGGGTTCTGCTGATGTTTTTCTCATCAGCGTGACCGGGAGTCCCCTCACCCTCTGGTGGATTTCCCACTCTCATGTGTTGGGAAGTGCTGGGAGCAGAGCAGTGAGTGCACCCAGTGGGGTCAGAGGCTGGTGCATGAGCAAAAGCCCCTGGCATTGAGGAGGAGGAGTTGCAGGGGCTCCTGGGACCTGACTCAGCTTTTGGGTGCTCTGGGCTGGCAGGCCTCTGAGCGGGAATATTTATCGGAAGTTTGAGAAAAATCCACTCAGACATTTCCCAGCTGTGGGGCACAGAGAAGGGGGAATTACACTGAGTTTTTAAAACCACAGGGAGGAAGCGATCCAGCTGGGGCCTGGGAGAAAATTGGGCTTGTGACCTTCACCCAGCTCTGTGTCCTGGTGGGGCTCAGCCAGCCCATGAGCACAGCGGGGCAGGCGGCCAGGGGCCACCATGAGGCCAGGACCAGCGCCTGGGGCAATTTTTCTTCTATTAATTTAATTTAGTTTCTTTTCGCACCCACCTAAAGTTCTGGCTACAGCAGCCCGCAGTGGGTGTCCAGGCAGCAGCGGTGTGTGCAGGGAGCTTGGCTCATCCCACTTGCCCCAAGCCTGCACCCGGTGCCTGCCCGTGTGGGCAACTCACCTCCTCCACCACGGTGATGAGCTGCTCCACGGGCGAGGGGCTGATGTCTCCCACCAGCAGCCCTTTCTGGCAGTTCTCCCGGGTGATGTTCTCCCTCTTCTTCTTCACGAAGTAGACACCCTTGCCCCTGAGGGTGGGTGGGAAGCCGGTGGTCGGTGAGAGCTGCCCGGCGGGGTTCAGCCCCAGAACCAGCTCCAGCACGTCCTGCTGCCTGAAGAACTCATCCAGCACGGCCGTAGCCTCCTCGCTGCCCACAAACTTGTTCCACTTGTCCGGCCGGACCCGCAGCAGCAATGTGGTGAAGCTCTCCAGGAAGCCATGACGCTCATCTGGCGTGGCCGACATCCCACGGGCACCAGGCTCGGCCGCAGCTCCCCAGCACCTGGGGCAGCGGGAGAGGGGGCAGGTAAAGCCCCACTCAGCCAGGGGCTGTGCAGACCCTGCACCCCAACCCCTCCACGCTCCCCTTGCCACCCCCCCGCCGCTGCCCTCAGCCTTCCCTCTGCACGCTGCAGCCTCACAGAGAGCTGCCAGCCCCATCGCCCCACCGGCTCCATAGCCTCCCAGCCTGCCCCATCCTTGGCCTCGTCACCCCTCCTGTCCTTGGCCCCATCGTCCCCCAGCCTGCCCCAATCCTGCCTGGCCCTACTGTTCCCCCACCCTGCAGCACCCCTCAGCCCTCCAGCAGCCTCCAGCCACCATCCACAGCCCAACCGACACCAGCTGCAGACCCAACTGCCTTGGAACTGCAGGGTAGCCCCCAACCCCTCAGCATCCCTGCCTGCCGTCCCTCAGCAAAGGCTCTTTGCCCACATATCCACCACCCCGGCGAGACTCACACTGTGGTGCCAAGGGTTGCCCCATCCAAGGCACGGGGCAGGCAGGGTCCGTGGCAGGGGCTCCCCCTTGCTCTGCCAGGCTCCCCGCCATGGTCCGTGTCTCTCCTTGGCCGGACCAGCCTCCTCCAGCCCTGGTGGCAGCAGCACAGCCAGCACAGGCTCTGCAGTTCCCGGCTTGCCCTTGGCCCTGACATAGCTTTTGATCACATTCCCATTTACAGCCGGTACCACCTGGGTACCATCTCCCCCCCCCCCCCCAACCCCCAACCACAGGCAGGGCAGGACCCCTCCTCTCCCAGGCGCTCTGCCATCCCACAGCTGCCAGACGAGAGCTGGGCTGTCAGCGAGGGGTACCCGAGGGGATGCCCCACCACCCGCCTTGTCCCAGGCCCCTCTCACCGGTACAGCGTGTGCTGCTGTGCAGCTGGGGGGGTCTGGCACCACACAGTCCAGCCCACAGGTCCCTGCAGGTGGGCAGCCAGCCCCCTGCCCAGCCAAGCTTAGTGCCAGCCCCACTGCACACCAGGCAGGTGGCATGCAGGATGCAGGACCAGGAGCCATCCTGCCCTGGCACAGCCACCCTGTGCCCTGCAGCAAGGTCCCCGAGGCACCTTCCTGGCGGTCAGGGGGAAGCTATGGGGAGCTGGCGAGGGCACAAGCCACACAAACACCTCCCAGCACACCAATAAATGAGAGGCTTTGGACAGGAACAGGTGGAGGCTCAAACCAGGACCACATTGGCAGCAGTGGATGAAGCTGGCAGCAATGTAACACATTGCAGCACCGGGCACTGAAATCTTGGTCCTGGGAGAAGCATGAACCTGGTTGCAAAGCTGGGGCACAAGGCGGGGGATGGCTGGGGGCTCCTGCCCGTCCCGAGCCGCACACAGACTACAGGAGGCTAAGGCTGAGCGCGGTTCAGTGTTTATTTGCTGCAGATCCTCAGCACTAGTTCACAAGGCCGTGGCAAAAAAAAAAAAAAAAAAAAAAAAAAAAAAAAAGTTAGAATAAAAAATCCTGCCACCCCCCACCCTCCAGAGAGGCCTCTGCACAGAACGACCCAACATACAAAATAATCTAAAAGGAGAAAACTATACAGGAGTATTTACACCTCTGATAAATAGACTAATACTGATCCAGGCGCCTCTCTCCAGACCGTGCGCAGTGGCCAGGGGAACAGGACAAGACACGGGCGTTTGCAAGGCAGAGGCAGGGGGGCTGCAGCCCCTGGCCTGGCTGGACCCCCCCAACAGCAGCCATCCCTGGTGCAGGCTCTGGGCACATTCTCACCACCCGCTCCAGAGCAAGGGCTTGTGCTCGAGGAGACGACAGTCACTCCTGGCACAGCCTCCCCTGCCCCTCACTGAGGGGATTGTGCTGCAAGGACATGCTGGGGGGCAATGCCAGCTGGTGCTGCTGGACAGGGGCTCTCATCTGAGCTCCGGCACCCCACGGCTTGGCAAGGACATGTCTGTGCCCCATGTGGCACCACTGCACACCGTTGACGGTGACAACTCCCGGCCCTGCAGCCGTCCCTGCGCCCGCAGGGACCATCCCTGGTGCAGGCGACAGCTGGGAGGCTCCAAGGCAGCAGCATGGGGAAGCCCAGGACAGACCCAGGCCCGCTACAACGAGAGCCAGAAGTCATGCCTCCTCGGGCCCCCCCCCCCCCCAGCTCCCCTGGGGCTGCCACACTTCATCCCGGCACCTGCAGCACCCCAAAACCGCCAGCTGCTAACCAGCAGCCGTTTGCCTTCCCTATGGGACACCCGAAGTGCTTCAGGACATGGCTGCTGGGGGGACCCAGTGGCATGTGCGGCTGCATGCTTGCTGGGAGGATCGGGAGCAGGGAGGGTGCCCATGGCGCCTTGGCTGGCTGAGGCGGGAGGGGAGGACAGTACACACATGCAGCACTCCCCATCCTGCAGCCGAGCCCGGGGCAGGATGGGGCTCCCTGCAACGCAGGGGTGTCAGTGTCCCAGCTCCAGCCCGTGAAGATGCTTTCCTAGAAATGAGGCAGTGATGGGGGGCCGGAGCCACCGGGATGCCTGTGCCCCCTCCTCCTCCCCACAGTAAAGAAACTGCGAAGCTGAAGCTGGGTCCTGGGCCCCCGAGGGCCAGGCTGCAGTGCAGCCCCAGCCCCGCAGCCCTCCGGGGAGGGGAGACGCTCAGGCTGCCGGGGGCACGTCAGCCTTGCAGGGCCAGTGGAGGCTGCTAGTGTCTCTTGGTGGAGGAGACCTTCTTCTTCCTGGCAGCCAGCATCTCGTAGAAAGGGTCCCGACTGATCGCTGCCCTGGCAGAGGGAACGAGGGCTCCAGTCAGCCACATGGCCAGGCAAAAACTGGGTCTGTCCTGCCTCTCAGGGCCTCAGGCAGGTCCCTTTGTTCCCCCCCATCCTTGCAGGGTGCCCCGGGAAGCACAGCCCACCCTCAAGCACAGCAGACGGGTCCCTGCTGTGCCCCTGCCCAGCGCCCTGCCGCCTGCTCCTCCAAGCACTCACTTGATGCACTTGATCCATTCCTCCTTCTCCTCGGGCGTGGGGGCGGAGATGCGATACACCGTGTGGTTCCCCTCCACCACTCGCCCGTCCGCCTCCGTCTTGCAGGCCTTGATCACCTGGTCCTTGTTGTCGGGGATGTAGAGCTCAAAGCAATTCTGGGAGGGAGGAGACCGTTCAGAGGCAGCCCCCACTTCCAAAGGGGACCCCAGGCTGGGAGGGACGAGGCAGAGCACCAGGGCTGCAGGCGGTCCCCTAGCACAGCCACCCCCAATGCAGCAGAGAGGGATGGACATGCTGTGATTGTCACCCCATGGCCCCCAGGCATGACCTGCCACCAGCCCTGGACACCGCAGTGTCTGCACCCAGCTGCCATGATGGGTGGAGGTGACAACTGCAGGGCCCTCCTGCCTCTCCCAGGGGCATCCCTGGGGGGCTGCTGCACCTCCTGCCTTTCCCTGCCCCAAACAAAGCACAAGGGCTGCCCCTCCAGCCCGGGGGACCCTGCTGCGGCACTCACAGGTTTCTTCGAGTCCTCCACCTCACGGATGCTCAGGTTCTCCAGCGGGATGATGCCACGGGGCTCTTTATCCTGGTGGGGCCAAGCAGAGGCTTTAGCTGTAGGCTGAACACCGCCAAAACCCACCTGCATGCTCTGGGCAGGGCTGGATGCTGCAAACACCCCTCTGAACAGGCATCTAGTGCTGCCAGGCCAGAGGGCCGCATCCTGCACCCCTGCAGTCACCGGCACCCCAGCAGGGCAGGAGGTGAGCGGCCAGCCCCATGCCGGCTGGGATGCTGCGCCTGGTCCATGCCACGCAGGCAGGTGAGCACTGGGCCGAATCCAGCCCCCCTCCCTGTCCCGGCCCAGCACACCCCAAGCAAAGGTCACTGACCGTCGTGTACTCGAAGTAGTAAAGGCAGTTGTCGGTCAGGATGAACCAGCGTCGCTTCCACGTCTTCACCCTGCCTCCTGGGAGCAGAGAGGAGCAGGTTGGGCGCAGCCCCGGCGGAGCGCAGCCAGGGCACGCGCCTGGAGGCTCGCGGCACATGGAGGCTACGGCAGAGCTGGAGCCCACGCAGACACACACAGACAAGCACCGGGCACCGGGGCGCAAGCAGAGCCAGGCAGCCCGGCGGGCACCGGGCACAGCAGCAGCAGGCAGCACACACCACGCCGGGCAGGGCACGAGCAGGAGCGGAAAGCAGACGGATGAGGATGGAGGTGGAAGGTGGTGGGGTGCCGGGCCAAAAGCACTGCACCCATTCCCACCCAAAACACTGATTTGGCGTGGCCAGAGGACACTGCAGCCAGGCAGCTCTTGGGGGAACACAGGGACTTTCTGTTCACACGGACCACGGTCTCGCTGCATCCTGGCCAATGCAGCCTGGTGCCAGAGCAAGGCACGAGCCCAGGGCCACAGCTCATGGACTTGATCAGAGGGAGTTTCACAACGGCCACCACAGAGGGAGAAGCCGCTCCCTGGGCTCAGCTCCCCCTCTGCCACACCGGTGTGCTCTGGCCATTGCGGTGGTGCCAGATGTGCTGCCACCATGGGACGAACACCCAGGCCGTGCTGTCCGGGTCCAGCACGGATGCAAGAAGGCACTGTGTGTGCTGGGGGCCGTGGTCTTCTCCTCCGCCCCACCAGGAAGGCCCCATGCCTCCCTGCTCCCCCATGCCAGCTGGCCGCCCACCCCAGTCCCAGCTGGGGCCAGCGCTTCCTAGAAAAAGCTCCTCTGCCTCCCTCCAGCCAAGCCCACCCCACCCCAAAACCTGGGGCTTGACCCTCTCCAGCCCCTGGCCCTTCCCAGAGCCACCTCCTCTCCTGGGGTTGCGGGTAGCAAGAGGCCACGCGCCAGGGCAGGGTCCTGCGGCACGGGGAGCACAGGAGGATCCCGGGCTTTAGGGACCGCAGGGGTGCTGGGCCCCATGGGGTTGGGCAGGGTCTCCAGAGCCATACGGGACCGAGGGCCAGTGCAGGCCCAGAGGGAGCACCAATGTTCCCCAGGGCTGCAGGTGGTGGAGCCAGGGCAGTGCCAGCACCCAGCATGGGGACTGCCGCAAACTCCCAGCGTGGCACAGGGCACCACGCAGACAGCTCCTGCCTGCTCCCATCCCGCTCTGGGGCACTCAGCACCCCTGACCCCCCCCAGACAGAGGCTGGGGCCCTTCCTGAGGGCACCTCAAACCTGTCCCCATCCCTCGTGGCACCATAGGCAAAGACCCGCTGCAGCTGGGCTGAGCTGCCTGCAGACACGGCTAAGCACGGACGGGCGGGTGGCCCCCGCCGGCGGCTGGGCAAGGAGAAGCGGCCGTGGCCTCATCCGTCCCTGGGCTGTGGGGTGCACCAGGGCAGTGGAAGAGGCCGGCAGGCCTGTGGGAGCGTTCGGCATCGGTCAGGCCGGTACCCCACATCCCTGCCCTGGCAGCGACGGGAGCAGGGCTGTCCCCTCAGCAGGCGAGGTCCCCGGGGTGGTGCGGGTGGTTAGCAGCAGCAGCAATGAGACTAATCACCAGCAATTAAAAACGAAAAGGAAACGAAGCCCCAGCGGCGTGAGCAGAGCGGGGAGAGGGGTACGTACCTCCTGGAGTTGGGGGCAAGGAAAGGAAGAGCCAAAATCATGGAAACATACAAATGAGGGAGAAAAGAAAATTAAAAAAAAGGAAAAAAAAAAAAAAAAAAAAAGAGGAAACCCCAAAGAACCCCCCTCGCCCCGCGTGGGTCAGTGGGGCAGGGCTGTAGCAGGGAAGCCGTGAGGGGCCAGGCCAGCGGCACTGCCGCGGGGGCCAACCTGCCCTGGCTCGCTGTGGCTCTGCGGGACAGATCTCCTCGGCTGGAGGGGCTCAGGGCCTGGTTCCCCCTGCCCCATGGCCTCCCCATGGGGTCCCTTCCCTGCCCCATGAGTGGGCTGAGCTGCAGCAGCTGGGCTGGGGCTCACGGCTGCTCTGCCGCCTCTCTGCACCCCCCCCCCAGCCGCCAACAGCCCCAACAGCAGCAGGTGCCAACCTGCCGTGCATGGGGCCCTTCTGCCAGCAGAGTGCTGGGCTTGCTCAGGGACAGGAGAGGCAGTTTGGGGCTCTCCCCCACATCTCCCTGCCCCAGAGCCAGGGGGCAGATGGCCCTTGCTCAGCCCCAGGGCCGGGCTCTGCACCAGTCAGGGCACAGGGGCGGGTAAAGCCCCTCTCCCATCCCAAGGGGTGGCAATATGGCAGAAACACCCCCTGGTGAGAGGACAGAGTCCCGACCCTAGCAAGAGTCCCAGGGAAAGGCCCCCACCACACCCCGCTCCTGCCAGCACCCCGTCCCCCCTCGCTTAACCAGGGCAGGGGATTCCCCAGAGCTGCCAAGAGGAGAAGCCACAGGAGCCAGGGCACGGGGTGGGCTTGCCGGCCGCGAGAGCCGGGCTGTGCAGCGGGGCCGCGGGGATGCCATGCACGCTGCCTGCATGTGGAGCCGGGATGCGGAGGTGATAATGCTGTGGGAAGGTGAGGCAGGGACCAGTCTGTGGCATGGAGGGGGGGACGCACGCAGCCTGGGGCAGCTCGCTGCTCACTCCCGGGGGCCTGCTCCAACAAGACCCTGCTGTGACTCGGTGATGAGAAGGGCCTCGCGGTCTCCATGTGCCAACATCGGACCCCAGTACCAGCTCTGCACCCCGCGGTTTGCCCAACCTAGAGGCAGAATCCCCTGGGACGCCCACCCAGACGCACCGCAGGGCCTCGTCAACTGTGAGTCCGCTCCTGCTGCCCAGCCCAGGGAAGACAGAGGGCTGCTGGACGTATGGATGCCTTCTGCATGGGGGCTGTGCCCCTGTCAGTAGCCTCTTGCCCTTCCACAGGGCCACACTCCGAGAAGCCAGGCCAGCAGGCGAGGTGCGCAGCCCAGGGGCATCACACCCATGGCCCAGCTCTGTCCCTGGGGAAAGCCTGCCCCCCCCAGGCCGCATCTGTCTGTCTGCCAGCACTCACCTAGCTTCAGGAGCCAGCCCTCCCGGTCGGGATTGAAGAAGGTGTGGGTGAGGTCATTGCCATCGTCCTCAGGGATTTTGAAGGGTTCATTCTTGATGCTTTCATAGAGATTCTGGTACAACAATACACAGCATCAGCTCTGTTCCACCCAGGAGCCCTACGACAGGCCAGCTCCACAGCCCTGGCCCGGTCCCTCCATGTCCCATCCCTCACCCGAAGCAGCTCCTCAGGTAGGTCTCCCCCATCGTTAATGCCACGGTTCATGGCGATGAAGCGCTCCGCTGTAGGTTTGTCCTTGACGTTGGGGTTGTGCAGGCTGGTGTTCAGCATGATGATAGCGAAGGAGAGCACATAGCAGGTGTCTAGAGGAACAGAGGGAAAAGTCAGCTGCAAGGCAGGACGGCCAGGGAGGGGGGCCAGGGCAGGCACTCACCTGTGGACTGGAAGACGCCGGGGTTGCACTGGCAGTACCGCTGGGCGAAGGCCTCCATCATCCGGTCGATCTTTTGCGCCTCCCCAGGAAGCCGGAAGCTCCACAGGAACTGCCTGTGAAGAGCAAAGCATGGTGCTGCTTTGGGGGCTCCACGCGCCCTCCGGACACACTCACATCGCTATGGCCCCCTGCCAGCCCACCGCCCGTCTCCCCTGATGAGACGTGGCTCAGCTCCTGTCCCCCTTCGCTCACCGCAGGGCCTGCACAAGGTTGAGGTCAGTGAACTCATGCAGCTCCACGAAGGCATGCAGGACTTGGATGTTGAACTCGTCCCTGCAGGAACAAAGCCAGAGCACGAGGGATGCATGATCAGCAAGTCCTGTGACTGCCGAGCAGCCCTACTTCTCCCTGCCCCACTTCAGACTCTGCTCATTTGTTGGAGGAGACCTGCAGCTACACCCCGACTCAAGTCCTGGGCTGGTTTGCACACACCGGTCTCCTGCAAGTGCCAGCCATGGATCAAACAGCCACCCATCTGGCCCTGGCACTCAGGGTGCCCAGCCCCCATGTACCCCACTCAGCTTCCCCATAAGCTCAAAGAACTGCAGTGTCCCATCTCTGAGGCAGTGAGAGCCCAGGGCATCCTCAGGAGATGTGAGCTGCCCCAGGCCAGCGTACCTCTCGCCCAGGTAGTCACCGATGGCTGTCTTGTTGAGGCCCTCTCCCTTGTAAAGGAACTGAGCAATATCCTCACACGTGTTCTTCAGCAGGTCGTTTTCGATCAGGAACTGGATGCCCTGGAGCAGTGCAAGAGGTGCTTGCTGCTGACCCCACCAGCCTGTCTGATGCCTCCTCAGCCCCTGCCCTGGGTGCTGGCTCTGCCCTCACCCCAGAGGGCAGCGAGGCAGCCCAACTGCAGGGTCACAGAGCCCAGCACGGACCAGATGATAGGCTGGTGAAGGCCCCCTCCATGCAGTCTCACTGGGAGCCTGCTGCCCCACTCCCCACCCAGCCCACCCCACAGTACCTTCTTGGGATCCATGTTGAACTTCTTCCTGCCCATGGCCACCTGCTTGTTCCTCTGCATGTTTTTCCTGCAAGGCACAAAGCAGCTCTGAGCGCCCAGGAAGGACCTGGCTGCCTCCTGCCCACCCCCTCGCCCCTCAGGCAGAGCACTGTGGGGAGGGGTCAGCCTGGACTGAACAGGAGGCGAGCAACTTTGACCGGGCCAGGCCTCTTGCATTGAACCTGCACGGGGTGAAGCTGGCGCGCCGCTCCATGTCTCTGCCCCGCTCTGCAGCGGAGCAGCATGGGGCTGCTCTCAGCCTGCCAGGGCCCAGAGCAAAGAGGAGCTGCCGTGCCCCGTCCACGGGGTCACTCCGTGCAGAAGGGGTGCTGGGTACAGCATCCCTGCAGGTCACCTCTGTATAGAGGGAGGCTAGGGCAAGCTGGGTGCAGTGGGGCTCTGGGGAGAGCAGCCTTCAGGCCCCAGTGGGGCTGGCGTGAGGGTGACAGCCTTCATGCACCAGTGGGTGATTGGAAACGACACTGGGAGTCAGCTCCTGTCGGCTGCCGGGACCCCCTAATCCCAGGCTGGCACTGCCTGTGCCAGCTCAGAATAACAAAGTCCGACAGTCACTGTGGCTAGACAGAGGGGCTGAGGCTTGGAAAAACAGACCTTTGGAGCAGCAGTTCAGACTGGGATCCTGCTACCGCTCCAAGGATTTCAGAATGCCTGGGAAAGCCACCCACACCAGCGCCCTCAGGGTGCTGCACCACTCAGCTGCCCACGGCTCCCACACAGTGCGAGTGAGCCGGCATTCAGGGCCGGCCAGGCTGCAGGGGAGGGGGCTCAGCTGAGACCCTGGGCTGTCGCGTCAGCAGAGGACTCACCTCTCCTCCGTGGACCCCAGGTTCTCGATCTCATTCGTCACTTCTGCTATCTCATCTTTCAGCCGCTGAGGGGAGAGAGCATGCTGAGACAGGAGCTGCCTCCATCCCTCCCAAAGCCTCTGGCCCCCCCAGCCCTGACAGCAGGCTGGGGCCCACGACTGCCCTTCCTTCCCACTTCCAAGAGCAGGCAGGACATCCCCATGGACTGGGGCTCGAGGAGGCAGGAGCCAGCCCCAGGGCCATTCCCCCAGGAGGCCCTGGCAGTCCCTCCTTCCTTCCCTTCTTCCCAACCTGAGTGCTGCCGGGGGCTGAACCAGCGTGGGGGCACTCACAGAGGGGGCTGGCTGCACCCCGCTGCTAATCCCCCTGCAGCATCACCATGCTCCAAGCGTGCAGGAAGGAAGAGATTCAGAGGTTAACAATATTACCCCCTAATCCCTTTAGATCATGCCTGGCATATGGCAGTAATTAGCCTCTGCTGCCTTAATCGGGGACACGACTGACGAGTGTCCCAGATGAGCACTGACCTCACACTAGCTTGCCAGGGCAGTGGCCTGGCCCAGAGACACGGTCCCTGCCTGTGCCAGGGAGTGCTTGGCACAGAGATGCCAGTGCCCTGGGCTGCGGGGAACACAGCCCAAAGCTCTGCGGGGGGCAAGGAAAAGCTGCGGCTGCCTCAGCCTGGCAGGGCAGCTGCCAGCCTGGGCCCACGTCCCCCACTGGGACCCTCTCCCCAGCCCTGGGGCCCCGCAGAGGCAGCACTATCAGGCAGTGGGGTGGCAGATCACGGGCTCCCTGCAGCAGCCGCTGGCATATGCCCAGCGGGCCCAGCTCATCCTGGTCTGTGGTTCCAGCAGCTCCAATTTTATACCCCAGAAGGTCCAAGAGAGCCTCCATGGGCTGCGAGGAGCCAGGTGGCTGGCAAGGAAAGGGGACGGGAGCACAAACCTGACCCACAGCCTTGCCTGGGCCTGCTCCTGCATGGGCTCTGCAGGTCTGGGGCACCGTACCCTCATCCCACAGCTGTTATGGACAGCCCTGGCCAGGGCAGCCTCTCTTCCCCGCCTCACCGGGGCCACCGTCCCCTTTCCCAGCAGCGAGGCAAGGGACCCTGGATGAGGCTGCAGGGACCCTGCCCAGTGACACAGGCAGGGAGATTGTTCCTGTCTCCCAGGGGATGACCCCGAGCAAGAGGCTGCCATGCCTGGGACAGGGGGATTGTGCGCGCGGGCGGTGGTCCTCAGCATCACACCTGTATGTCAGCCAGCAGCTCCTGCTTGCGACGGCGGATGTTCTCCAGCTCCTGGCACTCCTCCGGGGTCAGGTCACTGGGCACTGAGCAGAGACACGGTCAGGTCAGCATGTGTGGCTGTGGGAATCATCCCTGCCAGGCTCTGGGCGCAACCTCTGCTCCCGACCAGCAGCCTGGGGCCTCTCAGGAGCTGGGATGTGGAGCTGCCAGGTGCCCGGAGGAGCTGGACTGGCGAGTGGTGTCCCCAGCCCCATGCAGCGGCCAAGTGCCACCAATGGCACGCAAGGAATGCGAGGGCCAGGGCATCGCCCCACTGGGCAGTGGCAGCGGCTGCAGCGGGGGAGCCGGGCACCGCCGGTTCCTGCTGATTCAGCCCGAGGTGGCTGGGCAGTGAGGACCAGCACGGCCCCTGGACTGGCTCCAGCGCTCCTCCCCCAGGCCCTGGCCCTGCCACCCCGCCAAGTCCCATTTAACTCCACTCTGCCCCAGCTGGGCCAGCGTCAGTGCCTGTCCTGGTCCCTGCTGTGGCTGGGCGATTCTGTTGTGCCCTGTGGCATCGGGGTCCACGTGGACCTGGAGCCCCATGGGTTGCTCTGCCACAGAAAAACAGCTCCTGGCCACCCTTGCAGCCCCCTCTGCCCTGGATCCGTCCTTCCAAGCCAGGGCCCAGAGCTGGCACATCCTCTGGACAAACTTCACTGTGTGCCGTGACATCTACACCTCCCTATCACATGCAGGAGCCAGGCTCCCCCTCCCCAACATCATTCCCGAGGCTCAAGCCCAGGGCTGCTGCACACCCCCCCTTGCTCCTGAGACCCACAGCTCCCAGGACATTCCCAGTGCTCCCTGGCGCGTGACCTTCCACTCTGCAGTGACATGGCATCCCATTCCTGTTCTCTCCCATCGCCAAGGTCACCCGCTCCTCCAACAGCACTCCCGGCCCTCATCTACTGCCTGCACCTCCCACCTCTGCCAGTGTGTCCCTCGCACACCACACCAAGGTCACCCGCAAGAACACCAAAGCACCATTCCTCCAGAGCGCCATCCCCGAGGGAGGTGGCAGCAGCACCCGCCGGCTCGGCCCTGGCGCTACCTCCCACCTCCTGCCCGGGGGTGTTAGGGACAGGCGCCTGGCAGGGCTGCCACTGCCCTCTCCTTCCCCAAACACTACCGCTCTGTTTTGCTGAGGCCCCACATGCCACCATGGCTGTGCTTTCCAGGCCACCGCTGCCGCCAGCCTGGACTCACCTGGAATGTCCCCAGCACGGCCGCCTGCCCTGTACCAGCGCCCAGGGACGCCACGTCCCTCCGGACCAGCACCGTCCTCAACTGCGCATCGTTTCTCCCTGAGCTGCCGCCTCCTCCGTGGGAGCCGCATGCGCCCCTGGGGCGACTGCGACCACGCAAACCGAATCTCTGAACTCAGCACTTCCCTGGCTCCGCTCGGGCTTTCTGACGAGCTTCCTCCTTCGCAAAAATCCCCCACTGCCAAGGTTAGAGACAGCCACGGCTTGCGACACCATCCCCCCAGACGCAACAGCAACACTTCCCAATATTTTCAGTCTCCGACACCAGGAAGTATGAACCAGACAACCCGGCTCATGGCACCAGGTTAAAAGTTATTTAAACTTAAAAATACCAGAGGCCTTGCCTTATCAATACATCCAAGCACCTTTTGCGCACCCCAGTGCTGTTCCCGCAGGCACTTGGCCCCTCCTGCCTGGCGCCCAGGGTGCCTGGCAAGCCCAGGCTTGCTACAGGAGGGCCAAACTGCATCACACGCCTGTTGCCAGACACCAAAACCTCTAAATCCCTGGGCTGCAGCGTACACCGCAGGACCCTCCCGCCCAGCCGCAGGGGAGGTGAAATTTGGTGCCAGGGTTGGACCTGCCCAGCGGTGAGCTGGCCAAAGGCTGGAGCTAGCAAAGCAAACCCCGGCAGGAGCAGCGCTGCCTCTCCCTGCCCACCAGCAAGCGGGCAGGGGTCTCGGCAGGCCCCGGGACAGGCGCAGCAGAGGATGAGATGCTGCAGGGTAAAGGGGGCCAGCGGGTCTGTACCAGAGCCCAGGAAGGTCCCTCCCCACCTGTGCTGCTACGGCGGAGGGCAAGCACTCGTGACACTGGCCCAGCCATGTCAGCAGCAGCCAGAGGAAGAGAAACCCCAGACGCAAGAGCTTTTCTGGGGAAGGAAGAGGGCGTTAACCCTTCCCCTGCACACAGCACCCGCCCTGCAGCACCGAGCAGAGCCCAAATGGCTCCCGAGAGGCTGGCGAGCCTCGCCGCAGGCAGAGCAGTGCTGCAGGGAAGGGGAGGCTGGAGCAGGCACTTGCTACCTTGGCTTCAGCCCGGCACAGGAGTTGGAGCGCAGTGACCCCCGGGACTGCGGGATCCCAGCACTGGCACCTGCTCCCCGCCACCATGAGGCCCCAGCGCAGGGGGGCCCGGGGGCTCCCGCAGCTCCTGCTGCCGACAGCCGAGCCCGAGGACCCTGCACACCAGTGGCAGGAGGAGGGCAGCAAGGGGCACCGGCAGGATTTGTCCATCTGTCCCAGGCTCCAGGGCTGCTGGGGCCTGCGGCAGCTGGGAGCAGCAAGAGCAGCACATCCCCCCCTCTCCCACCATGCCCAAAGCAAAGCCACCCGTGACACACAGAGGCCATGCTCACCCCCTGTGCTCCTTCCTTCCCCACCACCCTAAGACAAGCGGACACGGCTGGTGGCACAGGAACGGGGCAGGCGTGGAACCACCCGCCTGCCTCCCCCTCACCCCGGCCCCACCAGCCTCCCCGCACCCCCGGCCGAGCTCACCGCTGCCCTCCGCCCTGAGCACCATCCTGGCAGGCTGCCTCCACCGGCTCCGTCCGCTGTGCCCGTGCCACTCCGGAGAGGTGCTGCTGTTTTGGGGCGCGGACACCTGCCCACCCCGGTGCTTCCTGGGGTGAGTCAGGGCTGTGCCGGGCCAATGAGCTCCGCAGCCGCCCGGGCGTCATGCATCCTGGCCTGGCCTTGCCAGGAGCCAGCACCAGCAACACCCTGTTCCTGCCACAACGAGCCTGGGCTGCCAGCGCCTTAACTCCTCTGCTCCCGGCTGGGTGGGGAAATGGGTCAGCCAGGGCCCTGCTCCCCGATCCTACGGCCTTGGGGTCAGGGCACGTGATGTGTCGGGGTCCCAGCCAGGCAAGCACTGGGGGCTGGCCCAGCCCTTCCTTCCTTTGGGGCTGCCAGGACACTCGACCCGGCACACCTCGAGCGAGCGGCAATGCCAGTGTCCCCTCCCCTCCACCAGCTGGGGCCCCCCACCCCAGAAGACACCCGCCCTGCCCCGCAGCTCCCCCTCTGGCTCCACCAGAGCCCTCGCTGCAGGTCCAGGTCCTGTCCAGGCTGTAAGGACGGAGCCCCGGACAGGACCGGGAGAGCTGTGGGGACCACCGGTGCCTGCTGCCCTCTGCAGACTCCACTGCAGCTCACACGGCTGGATGGGACCAGAACTGGGACTGGGAGCAGGGCCAGGAGTGATGCTGGTCCCTACAGGAGGTTGCTCCCCACCGTCTTGCCCCCTTGCTCCAGGGTGCCTGTACAGACCCCACCACTCCGTATAGGACCACTGTGCGGCAGAGTCTGGGGCCTGCGGGGCCATGCCTGCACTGGGAGCAAACCCCCGGCACGTCCCCATCCCGCTGTCAGCTGCCTGGAGAGGCCGCGTGAGCCTCGGCCGCCTTGACTCAGCTAAATCCTGCTCAGCAGTGCGAGATGGAGAAACAGCACCCAGAACGACAGCTACAAAGCAAGGGGAGGAAAGGCTTCAGAAGCCTCACGTTGGTCCTTCAGCCCTCAGCTGTGCTGCCGCGCTAGCCAGCCCTCCTGTCGGCCCATGTCGCGCCTGTGCCAGGCCACACGGGTGGGTCAAAGGCACCGGGTTTAGGCACACCATGGGACCGAGCCCAGGGTGCTGCCAGCGGCTGTTGCTGGGCTCTGCTGCGGGGTGCCACTGCCCGCTCCTGCCATGCCCCACGGCTGGGGGGCCCGCAGGGGCCCCCAGAAACTTCCTGCCCGTCTCGGCACACCACATCCTGTTTTCACTGCGCCGCGCGCGCATCCTGGGTTGCGTCAGCCCCATCCTTCCCCACTGACAGCCAAGGTGCGTCAGGAGAAGGGTTTGGGGACAGGCAGCTCCAGGAAAGACCCTCCCAGGTGGCTGGACCCTGCGCCTGGAGCCGTCCAAGGCCCTCATCCCGCTTTTGTGCAGCCCTGTCTGTCACCCCCGCTTCTTTCTTCTGCCCAGAGCCCGGCAGGGAACCCATGTCCACAGCTGTCGCCTTGTGCATTGGCGGCTCCAGGCTCCCACGCTCCCTGTGCGCGGACCCCCAGCCCACGGTGCGGCTGGGCAAGCACCAGCTTGGCCACATCCACACGCACCGAGCACTATGCAGGTGCTGGGAGCGCAGCCCGGCAGGCACCTCGCTTGCTCTCTGCATCATTCACTGTGCTGGGTCTCAGGAGGAGCAGAGCCCGCTCCTGCTTGGCCTCAGCTGCCAGCAGGGCGCAAGGCTGGCTGGAGGTGGTCTCGCAGCCCCGTGCCCCACCACACAGCCACTCCCAGCCCCACACTCGGGCAGGAACCCACAGACAGCAGCAGCTCACACAGGCGGCCAGCCCTCAATAGCATCCCCAACGCAGCAGGCACTGGGCTTTCCTGCACAGATTTTGGTTTGGAGAGTGCCACCCCGAGCTGCCCTTGCAGCTACACGCACTTGCAGCAGTAAGGGTGGCCAAGCGCTTACGTGTCACCCAGGGCAGTGCAGGAGGGCGACGGGCTGGGGCAGGACCTGCCACAGCCGCACCGAGCTGCATGCATCCTCCTGGCCACCACCACCGGCTCCTGAGCACCCCCGGTCCCAGCGTGGCACCCGGCACTGGTGCAGGGCAATGCCACATGAGGCAGCCCCATGCCCAGCCGTCCTGCCAGGGCTCAGCACTTGCAGAGGCCCAAGCCTGGGGAGGCCAGCGGTGCACAGGGGAAGGAGGCGGCGAGACGGCAAGGACTCTGTGCCGCTGTCAGCAGAAGCCATATGGAGCCCGATCCGTGGGCACCGCCACGTCTGTCAGGGGGACAGGGACCCCACGGCGAGCAGAGGGGAGGGCACGAAGCGCCTACCTGCCTTGGCAGCCACCGAGGGGCAGAGGAAGGCCTGGAAACTGGAGGCACAGAGCTCGCTGACCGTCCCCATGCTGCGGAGGCCTGTGCAGGACACCGCGAGCTCCGACGGGGCAGGCGAGAGCAGGCAGAGGACCGGCGGGTGCTGTGTGGCTGAGCAGCAGGCTCCCCGGTGCTGGGACCCACGGGCAGGGTGCAGGCAGGGGAGCTGGAGGAGTCCCCACTCTGGCTGGAGCCGGGGAAGGCGGCTCTGGCAGGGGAGCTCCAGCTGCAGGAGCCCACGCGCCAGCCCCAGCCAATCCTCGCCGCTCCCTGCCTGCACACCAGCCTGCTCTGCTCCTGATGCTCCGGCCGGCGGCTCAAAGCCACTTAGAGGACGAGGAGTTTGGGAACTCCCCGGCAGCCCCCCCGCCCCGGGCCGCCTGTCCCCCTGACAGCCCCCTTACCCCCGCGGGGGGCCGGCAGCGGGGTATTTTTAGAGCGGTTTTATCCCTCCGTATTAGAGCATTAAGCATCGGGAGCCGGCGGTCGCGTAGCAACCAGCACTGCATAAAGGAAGGTGCACCAAGAGACAACGCGGTTCTGGCGAGGCGTGGGGAGCAGAGGGTGCTGCCACGGCCCCCGCTCACGGGGTGCAGGGCCCGGGCGCTGATCCCAGCACAGGTCCGACAGGCTCAGCCTGCCCCACGTGCTGTGCACGGGCAGGCCCGCTGTGCCTTCTGCCAGTCCCCCGGTGACGCCGGTCAGACAGCTGAGCTCCAGGCATGCCCTGGCAGCAACGGAGGTGCCTCCCACTCTGCGGTGGTCCTGGGGTGCGAGGGACTCCTGCAGCAGGAACCGGGGAGGAGGTCCTGCCCCGGGATCCTGGCCTCAGGGCCAGCTGTGGAGCTGGGGGGAAGGCACAGCCCTTCTACCCCCAGGCTCGCTGCACCTGCATCCCCCCAGCCCCACAGGCGCCAAGCAAACCCAAACCGGACCGACAGCTCTTTCCCTCAAAGCAGAAGCGATCCCCGAACGCGGGGCATGGCCATGAGTAACAAACCCCAGAACCTGTCGGGGCACGAGGCAGCGTCCTGCGGACAGCCCGGCTGCTGGCTCTGCTCGCCTGCGCCGGCAAGCACTGGGACGCGCTGAGCAAGGAGAAACCCAAGCCGGGCAGCGGGGAAGGGCACCCTGGGAGGAAGCCACCCTCGCAGGCAGGAGGGTGTGGGGCAGGAGGGGACCCCGGGTCCCAGGAGCAGTATGGCTGCAGATGGGAGGAAAGGCAGAGAAGAGCAGCTCCCAGGGCTGCGAGGGCACCCAGGCACTCTCCACTGACGTGACCAACCTTCTGGTTTCAGTGCCACTTCCCCCTTCCCAGAGGCCGAAGCTGTGGTTGCCACATCGCTGGGAGGCAAAAGGGCAAGTGAGAGGAGCCAGGGGATGGCAGGGCTCAGCCAGGCACATGGTGTGGCAAGCAGCAGCCCAGGGCCTGGACCGGCATCTGGAAAAACCCCCGTGAGGCAAGGGCACCCATGGGTGCTCCAGCTGGCTTGAAACAGGGCCAGGCGGCATCTCCCACGCTGAGCAACCCAGATGCCCAGCTCAATCCTCACACCCTGCCTGGGCAAGGCGGGGTGTTTACAAACACCCCGGGGTTATGTTAACCATGGCTCTGGGCCCCGATCCTCCGCCTGCCGGAAAGTGGGGCCCCGGAGAGCAGCTTCCCCTGCCAGCCTCCCCCCTCCCTGAGGCCCAGAGCAGAAACATCTGACCCCAACCCCACTGCGATGGCTGAAACGCTCACTTGGGGACACACAGGCCCTGCTGCGTCCCTGATGTGTAATTGCTGAGCGTCAGCAACGTGGCACGTCGTTCTCTGCTCCCAAACATCTCGGGAGAGGAACCAGCTAATTGCCTCTGACCAATGCCACGCTGCCTGAGCCCTGCTGGCCCCGGCCCCTGGCTCTGCTCTCCAAGTCCGGTGCCATCCCTGCACTGTCCCCATGTCTTCAACCTGGGAGTCCCAGAGCTCTGCGGAAGAGCTGCTCCCCCAGCCAGGCCCAGTGACTTGCCCCGGCTCACCCCTGGACCATGCCAGGGAAGGGGCTGGTGCCTCGCTGGCAGCTCCCTTGGCAGGATCCCCCCCTGGCCGGAGTCCCCTCAGTGCAGAGGTGCACGCCGCGGTCCTGGGCTGCCTCCAAAACAGCTGAGCCTGCGCCAAGGGGCCTGCTGGCAAAACAGGGCTACGCAGGCTGGCACTGAGGAGAGGGCGGGGATCCCCCTGGGTGGGGACCCCCCCCAGCCTGCTAGAGGACCTGACAGTCCACCCTCCTTTGAGGATCTCCCGCACCTCGCAGAGCCCACCCCACCTCCTGACACCAGCCATCCTGCCCCAGACAGCAAGGCCCCCCCCCCAAGCACAAGCCGCTTTGCAGGAGGCTGCATCAACCCTGCTTAGAGAAATCCCTTAATCCCCTGGGCCAGAGGGAGCAGTAATCCCTCGGGTGCAGTAGGATTACCAGTGCTGCCCAATCCCCCTCACCCTGGGGCCGGGCCTGAGCCGAGATGGGGCTCAGCTCAGGACACAGTGCCGGGAAGGGATTGTGCTCCCTCCGGCTGCTCACCAGTGCTGCAGCTCGGCAGGGCAGGAGCAGCCAGGCCGGTTCCCCGCCACGACACTGCCGCCCCACCGTCCAGAGGCGTTCGCTCCTGCACCACCACGCTCTGTCAGCTCCGGTCTGGGGATGGGTTTGGTCTCACCGCCGTCCCCACCAGGAGATGCTGGAAAGGGGGTGGGAGCGCAGCCCCGTGCCCTGGCAGGAGCGGGGGGAGCCCACATCTGTGCCACCAGCTGCTCGCCCCAGGATTTGCTCTCTGCTGAGGCAGACGGCTGGAGAGGGGCCACGTATTGTGGGGCAGACACTGGCGTCAGCACAATCTCACCAGCAAGAGCCTCCCGTCAGGCTGCCACCACACTGAGGCCTTGGCAGACCATCCTCTGCAAAAACAACAGAGCTCAAGAGCTTCAGGACAGCTGCAGATTGCGATGCCCCTGCAACAGGGACAGTGGCGGGGATTTGGAGGTGGCTGTGCCGCCCATCTAGTGCTCTGCCCTGTGGCCCCCATGGCACGGTAAGCAAGCAATTTCTGATGCTGACAAGATGACCCGGGACATCTTCCAGGCGATTCCAGGAAGCGGTAAAGAGGTTGCTCACAGAATCGCTCCCTGCAGCGCTCTCCTGCTAATGGGCTGCATTGACAACGCCTGTGCCGGGCTGCGCACTAGTGGGGCTGGGCACTCGCACCTTATCTCACACAGTAAACTCCCCACTGCCGAGCACAGTCACTTCTGGAGTAGAACAGCAGCCTCCTAATCAGCTGCGTTGCACAACTGCGGCACGCAGGAAGCCAGCCTGTGAACCAGCACTGCCAGCAGCAGCGTCCTCGCCGGCACCGGCAGTGCCTGGGTGATCTCAGCTCCTGGGAAGAATGGACACCAGCACGGCTCACAGCATTGGGACCTTGGTTTCAGATCTCACCCAGACTCAAGCCTCCCCCTCAGCCAAGTCCTCGCTCAAGGAAAACCCACCTGCTGACCCAGAGGAACCTGCCTCAGAGGGCTGAGGCACAGGCAGTGCCTTACTGCCTGGTCCAGCTCCTCGGCACCAGGAGGCAATGCTCTGCAGGCACAGAGCATGGAGGAAAACAGGGAAGCAATCTGCATATGCACGAGAGAGGGGACCTGTTGCCCCTGAGCTGCATCGCCCTGCTTGGCCCACCCTGCGAGTGGGCTCTGGGCACACACCGGGCACTCCCATGCCAGGCAGGCGTGCTCCCGAGCTGGGGTGGTTTATGAGCCATTCAACAGACGCCATCGACGTGAGCCTGCCCTGCAGATCTATGGAGCCTGAACTCAGTGCTCAGAAGCAGCAGCTGAATACAAAGCGTGAGCGGCAGAGGGAAGGCATGCAGGCAGCAGGTTCACGGTCTGGCAGCACTGACGCTGCAGGCAGCAGGTCCCAGAGCCCGGCAGCACTGACACTGCAGGCAGCTCGCGAGCTGTGGCACCAAAGCAGCGCGGCACCGGCTGTGCGGAGCCGCCGGGGCTGAGCCCCGAGAAAGGACGAGGCCGGCGAAGGGGGAGCGCCGGGGCTCCGGGGGGTGCAGGGGGGGAACCAGCCCCCGTCAGCTCGCCCCGCTCCCCGCGCTGGCTATGGGCACCGGCTGCCGGTTTCCTCCCGCCGCTTCCTGCACCGCCACCTCGGCCCCACCCGGCCGATGCCGCCAAGGCCGCGGCCACGCGTGGGCGAGCAGCCGCCCTGTCACCTGCGGGCGCGGGTCCCGCCGCCTCCGAAACCCCGCCCGACCCCCGAACCGCCGACCGACCCCGGTCTTCCGCCTGGGAGCGGCCCGGTCCGAACGCTCCCTCCGGCCCGGGAGAGCCGCCCCCGCCCCACCGGGACCCCCC